CACATTTAATGAATACGATTTAAAAATACGAGATGTTTATACAGTAAGTATTTTTTTTTTATTTTAACTTTCTTCAAAAAAAAAGACAATTATTTAATTAAAATATTTTTTAAGTTAAAAGACAGACACAAAGAGATCCCTTTTTGCTGTTTCGTCCAGTTGTTTGTAGAGTCATTTTTTTATATTTCAGCCTTCTTTAAACAAACAATATTTTAAATACTAACAAATATTTTTTTGGCATGTCTAAAAATTAAAATTAAAAGTTTATGCCGGAAGTTCTATTCCTATTAAATCCTCTAAGTAATCAGTAAAACGTTAAACGTGAACTTGTAATGACACCAATGATGACAGAAACTATTTCAATGAATCATAACAAAAGTAACTTTCATTTCAATGGAACGCTAAAATCAACTTCAGTGTTTTATAACCTGAACCGTCAGTGATCCAACGGGTCACGGGTAGGCTAGTCAGCAATATTATTAATCCTGGCCTGATGTCTTGGTTTCAGTCCCTTTCCCACAGCCGCAGCAGTGTAGTTTCTCTGTAAATTTACTGTAAATACTTTCATGGTAATTGTTCTGGTGAATTTTCCGCTATGGTATAAATGTATATAAATTGTATTCATTGTAACTATTCATTGGTGCTTCATTTTAAAATGTTATTATTTTTATTCCATAAACCCACACACAAACTGTACATATGAGAATTAGTTAGGACTTCATAGAGACTTGGGGTATTATGGTGGTTGTAATAAGAACTCTGGATAAGAATGTGTTGATTTAGTGTAAATATTACTGATGTATGTTTGGGTCAGTAATTGTTGCTAGCAAAGTTTAAGATAAGACAGACTGAAGCCTACCCCTATCCCTCTTTTTGGCCTTGTGCCACATTTTTTATATTTACAAAATAAATATTAGTTTCCTCTATGCAACAAATTTCAGATATGGGAATTAGGACTGCATAGAGACTTGTGGTATTATGGTGACTGTAATAACAACACTGGGTAAGAATGTGTTGATTTGCTGTAAATATTACTGTTGTATGAATTTGGTCTGGTATTTATTTGCAGAATTTTGATAAAATCTAAAGGGGAATCCATATGACGGTTCTGTATAGGATACAGGTTCGAGGACGTATATTTTCTATGAAAATTTCTCGGACATTCAAGCCGGTAAATGTTGTCAATACTGTTTATTATAAAACAGAGCATTTACTTAAATATTTGTATCTATAAAAAGAACGTATAAAAATAAAAAAATGTCTCAAAAATGCATATATTGTCTGAGATAGCTCATTTTACCTTTCATCATCATGGCTGATACTGACCTTCAGAAGAGTGACTCATTGAGATTTTTCGGATGAATATTTTCCGCTGGCGTATTTCGTATAGAAAACGTTAAAATTTCCTTTGGTCTTTACTGTGCGCCGACAGCTTAGGTGTAAGATTTCTGACTGATGCCACAATCGGTCGAGTTTCGATCCTGGCTTGAAGAAATTGGACGTCTATCCCCACTGTAGAGCTATGATACTGCTAATCAGTCTGTCTGTGGATGATTATATATGCATTTTTGGGGGCTGAAAAGTAGAGAGGAACCACAAACGTTTTTGGTTATAATGTGGAGATATATATATATATATATATATATATATATATATATATATATATATATATATATATATATATATATATATATATATATATATATATCCACACGGTCTCGCGACCTTCTTCAGGCAAAGAGTGTATATTTACATATATTAAAAGGAATTAATTTTCCTTACGGTTTTCGATGTCTAACCATTGTGATTTTTTTGTGTAGTAGTAAACCCAATGTCTTTCTTGGACCTTCTCTTCCTCTCTTCTTTTTCAAATATACGGTTTACTCTCATTGGAGCAACTGCAACCTCTTCCCTATATATATATATATATATATATATATATATATATATATATATAATTAGATAACCCATTTTAACTTTCAGTAGCATGGTTGATACTAACCTTCAGGAGAGTGACGTATTGCGACTTCTCGGGTTAACATTTTCCGTTGACATGAAATAGAAAGAGTATATTGAATCAACTTCTAAGTTTGCAGCTAAGAAAGTTGGTTCGTTATGTCGTGCTCGATAATTTTCCTCGCCCAAATCTAGCTTTCATATTCATAAGTCTACCATTCGTCCTTGCTTTGAATATGGCTGCCAAATTTGATCTGGTGCTTCGCCTGTATATTTAAAGATTCTTGAATAGCATCCAAAGAATTTGCAATTTTCTTTCGTTCCTTTTTGTTCTACTAAACCCTATCTTAGCCGGTGTCGTCGTCGCTACCTCTTCTTTCCACTCTCAATAACACCTTGCGTCTTAGTGGCATTATCACCTTGCTTAGAGTGAAATGTTTAACAAAATATCCAGACAGAACTTAAATAAAATCATTTGACATTTGGTGATTATTCCAGAGTTATTCCAGAACTTATCGAAATAAGTATTCTACACGAATTTGGTCCAGTATTTACATTATTCGGACTATTGTCCTCATCTTTGTTGCCATATTTATTACAACGTTTCGGTCGTTGTACGCTCCGGCCTTCTTCAGGTGGTTGGAATGTCGAACTAAACCCTTTATTTCGCTCACTGGGGTAGACTGTTCTAGTTCCACGTGCCATGTTTAATGAATGTCAGTTATCTCCTGTTAATTTTCCTCTGAAAGTTCTCCACTGCCTTAACCGGGTATTGAACTCACACTCTTTGGGTCCTTGTCACTGGATCTAACCAACGCCTTTATACACTGTGCCATGTATCCTTGAAAAAAGGGTTTAGTTTGACATTCCAACCACCTGAAAAGGCCGGAGCGTACAACGGCCAAAACGTTGTGATAAATATGGCAACAAAGAAGAGAACAATAATCCGAATAATGTAAATAGTGTACATAATACCTCATCTCAGAAATATAGACAGATACTGAAGGGCCGAAACGTTGTAATAAATATGGCGACAAAGATGAGGACAATAGTCCGAATAATGTAAATAGTGTACATAATACTTCATCTCAGAAATAGAATCAGATACTGAAAGGCCGAAACGTTGTAATAAATATGGCGACAAAGATGAGGACAATAGTCCGAATAATGTAAATAGTGTACATAATACCTCATTTCAGAAATATAGACAGATACTGAAGGGCCGAAACGTTGTAATAAATATGGCGACAAAGATGAGGACAATAGTGCAAATAATGTAAATAATGTACATAATACCTCATCTCAGAAATATACACAGATACTGAAGGGCTGAAACGTTGTAATAAATATGGGAACAAAGATGAGGAGAAAAGTCCGAATAATGTAAATAGTGTACATAATACCTCATCTCAGAAATATAGACAGATACGAATTTTGTCATGCTCTCCTGTTATTTATTTAGAGAATCTTGATAAAATCCAAACAAGAATTAGCAACATTATTGGTCCTGATCTGGCACTTCGGCTTCATTCACTTTCCCCCCGCCGAAAAGCTGCTTCTCTGTGCCTTTTCTATAAATACTTTCATGGTAATTGTTCGGTAAGGTCTCCGCTATGTTGCCTAGACTTTATGAATTTAAGCGCAGTACTTGATTGGCGGTAAGGTCTCATCATTTTACAACGGAAATGGCTAGATGTAACCATAAGTTCTATGCTAAGAGTTTCTTTTCTCGCACTTGTGGAACTCTCTTCAGGTTTCTTGCTTTCCAGCCAAGTTTGATATTCAAAAATTTAAATACAATGTCAATCGTTATCTACTCTTTCTGATTACTCTTCTATTGTTCTCGCTCCTTAGCAATGTTTTTGTTTTTTTCTGATTCTTTCACATCCAGTAACGCCTTGTGCCTTAGTAGCTTTATTGCCTTCTTTGGGGGTAAATTTGATTTAAAAAAAAGAAATTTTCGGAAGACCGACGAAGAATATGAAGAGGACGCCGGACATTAGAATTACATCGGACAGAAAAAAAAAGTAAGCAAATAGCAGACCTGAATAAAACATTTCGACCAAATATTAGCGTGAATAGAAAGTGAATCAGACCAAAAGACATGTGATTGCAGGATGGAGTAGAATAAAGTCACAAGTTTTAAATATGAATAAAAGATTCCCAGAAAATATTTCCGTTTTTATAAAGAAAGTCGAACGGCAGATATTATCGGACGGCTGGATCTAAGCAAAAATATTAAGACACAAAGAAAACTCGGGCCGAATTAAAAGAACATCATCCCCACCTTTGACAAAAAAAAAAAAAAAACTCAAATGTATATATGTGTATGTATGTGTGTGTATGTGTGTGTGTATGTGGTACCATTTTAAGAAAACAATTTTACTCGCTATAGGCCGGATCTGAAAATATGGCGGAAGAAAGCCGGCTAGTAAATAAGGCAGACAGGAAAACATGGAAGCGGAAGCTATCGCGTTAGAGGGATGCAGACGATAGTCATGAAGTTGGCGCGCTTGCCAACATAAAGCCGGCTGCATGGGTCAGAAGCATATGTCATTCATAGCTGTCTGGATAAAAATCCGTCGACCATTGCTTGCTTTGCAAAGGCGGCTTTTGCTTGTCGCATCATTCAGGTGGAGAGGTCGACTGCGGTCGGCTTGGCAGTATTGAGTCTTCGTTACAAAAGGTTTGTAGCTGGAGTCGGCGAAATGTGCCTAGTCAAGTCGAAGTGACAAATCTCCGGCTAGGGAAGGCCAGAGTCGCTACAAAACGATCTTATGAGTTTGGAGCTATCGGAATGGAAGGTGATCTTGTGGAAAAAGGAAATAATAAAAGAATAAAACATAGAAGAAGATGGGAAGGAAAAAAAAAGGAAAAAAATATGGTGGGAATCAGGCATTTGTAAATATCTGAATTATGGATAGCAACTGGTAAAGGATAAATGTTGTACAATATGAACATGAAGGAAGTAGATTCACAGGGCCTCGCAATTCGGCAAATACATGAATTTTCGCATAAAAAATATAGGGACCTTAATTAAATAGACGCTTCTCAATAGAATTACATTCCGTTTTTATCTATCTATCTATCTATCTATCTATCTATGTCTGTAACTATCTATCTAATTATGTCTGTATCTATCTATCTATCTATCTAATTATGTCTGTATCTATCTATCTATCTATCTATCTGTATGTATCTATCTAAATATGACTATCTATCTATCTATCTATCTATCTAATTATATCTGTCTGTATCTATCTAAATATTATCTATCTATCTCTCTATCTATCTATGTCTAGATTTCTAATCATGTCTCTATCTATTTATGTTTTTATCTATCTTATATCTTTTTATATATCTCTACATCTTTATCTATCTATCTATCTATCTATCTATCTATCTATCTATCTATCTATCTATGTCTGGATTTCTTATCTATCTATCTATCTATCTATCTATCTATGTCTGGATTTCTTATCCATCTATCTATCTATGTCTGGATTTCTTATCTATCTATCTATCTATCTATCTATCTATCTATCTATCTATCTATCTATCGTTGTTTTTATATATCTTATATCTTTATGTTTTTATCTATCTGATTATCTATCTATCTATCTATCTATTTCTAGATTTCTAATCATGCGTATATCTATCTCTCTATCGATGTTTTTATATATCTTATATCTTTATGTTTTTATCTATCTTATTATATCTATCTATCTATCTATCTATCTATCTAAATACGTAATTATCTATCTTTCTGTCAATTTTTCTGTTATAAATACTGCCATGACAAACGCACATATATACACTACATGCAAATCACATAATGTCACCGAGTTTAGACAAAGCCAATACTTTAAATTAACCAAACCCTAAATAAAATAATAAGATAAATAAACAAAAAATCCAAACAAAGAAGTCAAATAAATAAGAAACAAATTTACAAATAACGAACACAAACATGAACACAAATGAATATAATAATAATAATAATAACAAGAAGAAGAAGAAGAAGAAGAAGAAGAAAAGAAGAGGAAAGCTATGAGGACAGAAGAGGACAAATAAACGAGAAGTGTCAATAATAATAATAACGGGGAAAACAAAGGGCGTCAATAATGATAATACGAAGAAGAAGAAGAAGAAGAAGAAGAAGAAGAAGAAGAAGGTTACAATGAAATCAGAAGGGAGTGTTATTTAGAACTGTTGCCGAGAAAAATAAACAAGATGTGTCAATAATAATAATAATAATAATAATAATAATAATCTATAGCAAATAATTAAGTAACGAATATTAAATCACGAATAAAAAGTTAACAAATAACACTATAAAATAGCTACGAAGAACTGCACTGGGATCCACAATTATTTCTATTCTATAGACCAACCCATAATGCACCATTGACCAGCATATATAAATAGTCGGGCCAAAATAGCACACAGAGGCGGAAGATTGCTACTTGGTGTTGACTTCAATGTCCACTTTTATATTCACATACGCTCGATATCTGCTATTGAGCCTTGTTACCTACAAATACATGTATTATTTTATCACATTATATATATATATATATATATATATATATATATATATATATATATATATCCGTTCTGAGTATAACGATAAACTACATCCGCGTCATGGGTAAGACGATAAACTACGTCCAACAGCAAGGCCTCTGATCAGGAGATTTTGAGGATCGTGGAACCACATCTTAATTGCTGGCGTTCCCAGGTCTACCCTGATCCGGGGTGGTAGCACCTGTTAGGCCCCCAGCTATGGGCAAATAGTTTACACCCAAACTTGTGTAAAAATAGTTTTTAATGTCAGAAATACTTTGTAATAAAAAAAATTTTACCCGCAATAATTTTTGAAGGAAAAATTATTATCAGCAGTAATTTAAAAAAAAAATACCATTAATACAAATAGCTATACATTCTTTGGAAAAAATAGGACCAGCTATGGATTTCTTCAAGGAAAAATATTCCTAGAAGCATATTTTTGGAGAAAAACATATTATCAGCAAAAACAATTTTGTCAGTATTAAATAACCCATTGAGTTTGATATGCTGTAAAACAAACCAAACCAAATCATATATATATGATAGAGAACACAGGCGTGCCCGAAAATTCCGTATCTTGAACCGTGCTTCATTACTTTCATGTGGTTAATAATTAATTAATGTTTTTCGTACAGCTCACATCGTTTGCCTTTGTTTTATTAATAAACATATCTATTCAATTATATATATATATATATATATATATATATATATATATATATATATATATTAGTGGTAAATATATATATATACATATGCAATCATATATCTAAAATATATAACTATATATACATACATACATACATACATACATACATACATATATATATATATGTATAAAAAATAATTCCAAGAGGATAGAATCCAGGTAGAACTCAATGTCCAGGACAGAGTAAGGATATAATAAAAAGGCTTAAACACTAATATTCCATGGTTATAATTTATTCCATTGGAATCGTAAATACGATCCAATTCATCAGATCTACCAATTCTAAAAGAAAACAGAAAAAACAACTCCGGCAATAAAAAATAAAATTTAGTGAGAGTTTATGTATGAGAGTGTGGGACGAATGTTAGAGTAAATGAAAGCTATAGGGAGGGGTAACAGACGAGAGAAGAACAGGAAGGTCTAAAGATGAAGGGTGGATTAAAATTTAATAGAGAGAAGTTTTAAAGAGGGGAGTCAAAGACGGTTTAAGTGAGAGAAATATGAATATTCTCGGATGTCTAATGCATTAAAGATACACCGGAAAAGAGTCTACATTTTGTGGTGACATACACACACAATAGACGATATAATCTTAAAGATCAGAAGATCAGAGAGGGAGAGGAAAAGAAAAGAAAAAGAGGTGGGGGAGAGAGATGGGGTGGGGGAACTAAAACCGAGGGACATTTATAAAAGGGCCGCTGTGTAATCAAGAATATTTGACAAAATTAATATCGACTACAGGTTACAAATTAAATATAAACATATTTTAATCGGTGTTTTTATTAACGTAGTAAAAATTTGTTTATATCACTTATTTAATAGTTTTGTTTTGGTTTGAGAATTTAATTAAAGCTATTTGTTCTGTTTGGGGCTTGGTCGTTGTAGTTTTATTCTAACTATTATTTTGGCAGAAACAGTTTTTAATTTGTGTTTATTTGGGTTGATTATCTTTATTTGTTTTTTCTAACGGTAACTTTATCGGGATTGGTTTGTTTATTCATTTATTTGGATGAATTTAGGTCAATTTATTTTACTTGTATATTTTCTCTTTTCGGTTTTCGATTTTTAAGTAACGTAGTATTTATTTTTTATTTTTATTTTATTTGATTAAAAAATAAGTAAATAAATAAATAAAATAAGAAACAAAAAATAAAAATAAATAAAAAGAAGCAAAATAATTTAACCCAAATAAATAAATAAACGCCATAATAGACTACCCACAATGCACCACTGACCCGTATATATATAAATAGCCGAGAAAAATAACAGCACACGTGGCCTGACGATTGCATATAGCATGAAACAGACTGTTGCCTCTAAGTGTTGACTTCTATGTTCACTTTTATATTTACACACGCTCTATCTCTGATGTTGAGCATTTTATCCCATAAATATAGCACACCTTAAGAGTATATATAAAGATATGTCTAGTGGTACAAAATTTTATCACTACAAAAATTAATTTTATTATGACCACTCAGCGAGGTTCGAAACCGGTTAGGTCACCCGTTTTTCATTTTTACTTTTTATTATCGTCATGAGTGGTAATAATAATTTTTATCTATTTATGGCAGTGATACATCTCTCTCTCTCTCTATATATATATATATATATATAAATATAAAAGTGAACATAGAAGTCAACACTTAGAGGCGACAGTCTGTTTCATGCTATATGCAATCGTCAGGCCACATGAAACAGACTGTCGCCTCTAAGTGTTGAGTTCTATGTTCACTTTTATATTTACACACGCTCTATCTCTGATATTGAGCACTTTATCCCATAAATATAGCACACCTTAAGACTATATTTCTTTATATATATATATATATATATATATATATATGACTGGATTCGATGATGTACAAAAACGTACACTAATTTTAACGACCATGAGTTTGTTGAATGATAGAAGAGTGTATGGAATTATTTATTCAAGGCACAACTTACATTTCTTAGATTTCTCAAAAATAGCCGATACCCCTTCCATTAAATCCTACTTCGTCTGCTCTTTCTCCTCCCACATATAATTCGATATTGCAGTACTCTTTCCGTAGCTTCTCGTGTAAGTTGTTGCCTCCGCGAACGATGCTCTGTAATACCAATATGCACCATTTTTTGTCTATTGCCTAAATTCACGGCAGGCTTTATAGACTATATGCTCTTTAAAGCAGTCTCCATCAATATTTCTGTCTCTTTTCGTATCCGTTAGTGTCGCGAGACTATGGATCTGTGCTTAGAAAGTTTTTGATCTACTTTAGTCTACTTTTTCTGTCCCTTCAGTCGTGGATGATCATGTGTCTCCACACCTTCCTGTAGATTGCAGCTCTAAGCAACGTTTCTTCTCTTACCAACCCTCTTAGACTCTGATCTGTCATCAGATTGCATAAAGTTTCCGAAGCGGATTTTGCCTTTAATATGTCTTAAGCTGCACGCGGATAGAAATTAATTCAGTGAATGTACAAAAGTAGAAATGGGTAAGACAAGGATGCGCCTTCTCGCCAGATTTATTCATTATACAATCAGGTGGTTTTGAGAGAATTAGAATTCCTACCAGGATTCATTATTAAGTTTTTCTCTGAAAATAGCTTTACAAGAAAATAATTTTCTCAAGACCACTAACTTTCCTTCTAGAATTACATACTTTCCTTTCCTGAACTTTTGCCTGAATCAGTGAGTAAAGTCAATGTTGTAATCTAGGGGAGGTTAGTGAATAGAAGAATCAAACGAAGGTTGGTAATGAACGATAATACTTAGGACAAGAACAACACATATAAGATTCGCCAGCGGCGCGTAAAAGAATAGTCAACTGCTAGAAGTGAGTCAAGTGAATTCTACAATGAATCTCCAACTCTGCATGATATCTACCAACCGCTCCATACGGTCAGATGTGGCACAAGACCGAATTTAATGTGGGGTATCCGAGCCCGTAGGCTCGGCCAAAAATTCCCCGGAGACCCTGTATAAAACGGGATCGGGTAGCTGTTTCCCAAGACGAGACTCTGCCCTTCAACAAAACCGTATATGGGTATCCTCTCTGTCCGGAGGCCGAGAGTTTGACTAGCACAGCTGAAGACGAATCCCCAACTGCAGGACATCTATCAACCGGCCCAAGGGGTCAGATGTGGCATAAAACTGAATTTAATGTGGGGTATCGGAGCTCGTAGGCTCGGCCAAAAATTCCCTGTAGACCCCGTATAAAACGGGACCGGGTAGCTGCTTCCCGAGACGAGGCTCTGCCATTCGACATAGGGTCGTCTGTGAATCCTCTCTGCTCAGAGGCAGAGTGTTTGACTAGCACAACTGGGGACGAATCTCCAACTGCAGACCAACATACAGTATTTACTATTGTATTTATATGAATGGGGACATACACATTATCGTCCGTAGGTATGCTACAACATTCAACATCTTGATTATGTCATTATTTTGTCTTCAAATTACATACGCTATCCGTTTTATTTTTTTCCTGATGTTGAAACTCCTCAAGACATGTTGCTTTGGTTATTTTTGATTCTACAGCGAGTTCCGCTACGAGTTCCGACAAAAACTGTCCTTTTGAAGACGAACAGGTTTAATTCGCTTGAAGCCATTTTTAGGCACTGAGTATCATAAAAAGTTATAGATTAGATATTATTGAACGATTTTGATGCCATGTCTGGCATCCTGATAATAGTCTAGGTTTGACTGGGTTATTATAAGAACATTAAATTAATTTTTAAGGCTTTTAGCATCTTGTGATGTTAGACAAAACAACCCCTAGCGCGGTCTATTCTACGTCAGTAACCCTTTTTCTTATACCAAATTTGAAGAAGAATTTATGTCGACACACACACATACATATATATATATATATATATATATATATATATGTCCTCGACTCTCCCGTCGAATTCGACGTATGAGAGTCATACATATCAGTTCCTAGGAAACCGACAGCCCGACAACAACACATGAGATTTGATTATAGTGGTGAAGGTTTTGTGCAGGACCATCCACACTTTTTGAAGGGCCGAATTCAGAGACCTGGTGCACCGAATGCCACAAGGTCCCCATAAGACCCTCCGCAGGTTTTGAATTCAGAGTTGTTCTTCTCCTAGACTAGTTGCCATCCAAGGCTATAGAACCCACTCTGTCCTGCTATTTACCCATAGCTGGAGCGAGAAGAAGAAGATTCACACAATCGTCAGGCCAGGACTCGTGGCCTGACTATTGCATCTAGTATGAAACAGACGCTCTATCTAGGATATTGAGCACTTTATCCCACAAATATAGGGCATCTTAAGACTATATTTCTTTATATATATATATATATATATATATATATATATATATATATATATGGGGATATCGCACATTGAGTGATGGTGTTAATAAAATTGTACTCGATGAAAAATAACAGCTAAAATGATATATTAATAATAAATATACAGCTACCGGTATATAATATATATATATATATATATATATATATATATATATATATATCTTATAATTCCAATATTATTTATATATGCAGATATATATATATATATTAATTTCAAATTAACAATATATATATATATATATATATATATATATATATATATATATATATATATATATATATAGCTTTAATTGAAATACTGATTTTGAAGCCAAAATTGCTAGTTTTTAAGTGGTTTTTCGTTCCAACGAGGTTTTAATGCCTATATAGCCAGTAAACTCCAAAGTAAACATGAGCTATGTGAAAACCAGAAATACTTTTCATATGAATTCTCTATCGGTTTGTATATTCTTATATATATATATATATATATATATATATATATGTCCAAAGATGTTTGAATGAAGATTGCTGCCTAAACACACACACACACACACACACATAGAGTATAAAATGCTACGATGTGATAGACAGAGTAAGAAAAAGACCAAGAGACAGAGAACTAATGAAATCAAGAGAGGGAAAGAGGAAGTCAAACAAAGCAAGTGGTAGGCGTAAAGTGAAGAGAGTGATTGATATGGCATCTTCATTAGACAAATGACTGACTCTCGATCCCAGGATTATTATTATTATTATTATTTATGGTCGAGTTGCTAGACAAAGTTGATGTGCCTTTTCTAAGCAAAACTGTTTTAATTGTGCCACTGGTTACAAGATAATTACGTCGATGCCAGACAAAAATTAAATCTAACAATTACAATATTGTGGGCCGTTGGGAGAGAGAGTAAAGAGAGTGAGAGAGAGAGAGAGAGAGGGAGGAGTGGGGGAAGAAAGGAGATAGAGGGTGGAAAAGGAAGGGTGGTAAACAAATATTTTTTTTCTTCTAAACAAGCGAAATAAAGTGACAAAAGAGATTTTATAGATCTTCATGCGACACGTATCTTTATAGGCATCCATATATGAAAGAAAAATCAAATACGAAAGAAAGAAAGAAGCGGAAAGAAAGAAAGAAAAAAGAATCGGAAAGAAAGAAAGAACCGGAAAGATATCATGCATATAATAACGCTAAGAATGAGAAAATGTAAACTGCAAATCGGGGGTGCCAATATCAAATGAGTGCGGAAATTTAAATATCTGGGAAGTGTTTTAACAGAGGACAGAAAGTGTGACACTGAAATCCGAAGTAGTATTGGAATAGCCAAAAAATCATTCCAAAAGCTAAACAAAATACTAAGAAATAGAAGGAAATCGTTAATAACAAAGAAAAGGGTACTAAACTGTTACATGATATATATCTTCTTGTATGGCAGTGAGTGCTGGACAATCAAAGATGAAGAGACTTGAAGCAACAGAAATGTGGTTCTACAGAAGGATATTGGGGATACTGTGGATCGAATATGTGAGCAACGACAAAGTTTTAGAGAAAATAGAACCAAAAAGGAAACTAATATTTACTTTACGTAAGGATCCACTCCTTCTCCCCTTAGCTATGGGTTAATTAGTATGACATGTATCAGTAAAAATTCTTGTTATCTCAAAAAGATTCTTACACTCTAAAATGTTTTCTGGCTCTAAATAACCTGCAAAAGGTTGATAAACCATAAAAACAAACCAACCAATCAACATTCAATCAGCTATTGTTTTGTCTATGTGTTAAGGTGTTACTATATCACACATATAATAACGCTAAGAATGAGAAAATGTAAACTGAAAATATTCTTTCTTGCCTAGCATTGCAGATAACACAGTGTTGATAGCAGACACGGAAAGAAAGCTACAAAAACTCCTACAGAAGTTAGAGAAGGAAGAAAGGATTAAGCATTAATTTCCCGGAAGACAGAATACATGGTTGTTAATAAAAGGATTAGACCAAAGGGCGAAATGAAAATCAGAGGTACCAAAATTCAAAGAAGCGCGCAAATTTAAATATCTGCGAAGTGTTTCAACAGAGGATGGAAAGGGTGACACTGAAATTCAAAGGCGTATTGAGATAGCCAAAGAAGCGTTTCAAAAGCTAAGCAGAGTATTAACAAAAAAACAAAAAAAAACAACAACAAAAAACGAAATAAAAACTTCGTTGGAATCAAAGAAATGATCAGACTTGTTACATCATATCTATAATATGTCAGTGAATGCGGGACAATTTCCTCACAGATGAAGGAGGGATATGGGTTCTAGGGATTTAGGAGAGATGACGAAGCGATAGAAATGTGCTTCTACGGAAGGATAATGAAAGAAAGACATGAATCAATGGAAAGGTGGTCCTATGAAAGGACTATGAAGGAGAGACATGAAGCATTAGAAAGGTGGTTCTACAGAAAGACGATGAAGGAGAGACATGAATCAATAGAAAGGTGGTCCTATGAAAGGACTATGAAGGAGAGACATGAAGCATTAGAAGTGTGGTTCTACAGAAAGATGATGAAGGAGAGACATGAATCAATAGAAAGGTGGTTCTATGAAAGGACTATGAAGTAGAGACATGAATCAATAGAAAGGTGGTTCTATGAAAGGGCGATGAAGTTAAGAGATGAATCAATAGAAAGGTGGTTCTATTAAAGGACTATGAAGTAGAGACATGAAGCATTAGAAGTGTGGTTCTACGGAAAGACCATGAAGGCGAGACATGAATCAATAGAAATGTGGTTCTACAGAAAGACGATGAAGAAGAGACATGAAGCAATAGAAATGGGTTCTATCGAAGGAC